TCCCTTGCTTTCTTCCTTCTGCCTTTCTCCTCCTTCCTTCCTCCTTCTCTTCCTCTCCTTCCTTTCTTCTTCCTTCCTTCTCTCCTTCCTCCCTCCTTTCTTCTCTCCTCTTTCTTCTCTCTCTCCTCCTCTCTCCTCCTCCCTTCCTCCGCATCTCCTTTTCGATCTTTTCTTCCTCCTTCTTTTTTCCTGTCTTGAGATAGGGTCTGCCCTGTCATTTCAGGCCTGGATCAGTGTGGTGATCTGCCACAACTGCCAGCCCTCTACCACCTGGCTCAGCAAATCCCTCACCGCAGCTCCCAAGTACTGGAACTAACGGTGTTGCCCTCACCTGGGCTAAAGTTTTTAAAGTTCATCATAGAGCACGAAGTCCTTTCTCTATTACCAGTCCCTGGCTTGAAACTCCTGGGCTCAAGCCGTCTTCCTGCCTCCAGCCCTCCACCAGTGCTTACAGTGTGACCCACCGCCTCTGGCGTAGTAGCGCCTTTTTTTTTTTTTTTTTTTTTTTAAAGTCCCTCTGTCGCCCCAGGCGGATGCAGGTGGGTGGTGATGGCCACGCAAGCCACCTCCAGGTCAGCGCCTTCCCTGCCTCAGCCCTCCTGAGTAGCCTGGGACTACAGGCGGCCCGCCGCTTCCGACCTGACTAACTTTTTTGTATTTTTAGTAGAGACGGGTTCACCGGTTTAGCCAGGGGATGGTCTCGACTCCTGACTCATGATCCTGCCCTCCTCGCCCTCCCAAAGTGCTGGGATTACAGGTGTGAGCCACCGCACCGCCTAGGCAGGGCATTTCTTACCGGTTCACAGCACCCAGTCTCCCCAGGGAAGGCCTCAGACCGTCGGGAGAGGAAGATCAGGGAGACCTGGGTTCATTAGTGGCCACACAGAGCAGTTTTTTTTTTTTTTTTTTTTGAGAGGAGTCCTTGCTCTGTACACCCAAGGCTGAGTGCAGGGAAATTCATCTCCACCTCACTCAAACTCTGCCTTCTCCGGGTTCAAGCAATTCTTCCTGCCTCACGCCCTCCCGGAGTAAGCGGAATTACAGGCCAACATGCCACCCATGCCCAAGCTGATTTTTGTATTTTTAGTAGCGATGGGGTTTCACCAACCTGGCCAGGCTGATCTCGAACTCCTGACCTCGTGATCCACCCACCTCGGCCTCCCAAAGTGCTGGGATTACAGGCGTGTGTCACCACACCCGACCAGCATTTTTTTTAAAACCATGTGCACATACTATTTTTACAATTAAAACAGACTTTTAAAGGTTTCGTAAGGCCCCTTTTTGCATACTACAAACATTCTGGACTCCTTAAAATTGATGTGGGCTGGAAGTTGCTGGTCAGGAAATGGAGCTACCAGGTGTGCCTCCTTCACTGGGGCCCTTCCGGCCCAGTGGGCCCCTTTCCCTGTCCCCTGTGGGGCAAGCTCAGAGGCACTGCTGGGGGGGTTGGGCAGTGAGATTTTTGTCTTTCCTCAAAGGGGCCTGGGATCTGCTTCACTCAAGGCTGGCACAGAGCACTCACAGCAAGATTGCCTCTTGCGGAAGAGGCAGTCAGTCCATCCTTCCCTCGGGAATCTGAGCCAGAGAGAGGCCAGTGCACACCAGCCTGTGTGACCCGAGGAGGAAGGGGAGGGCATTCCCTGCAAGGCTAGCATCATGTGCTTCCCTTGTTGACCTTTCCCACCCTGGGGACAGGACCAGCAGGATTTCCTGAGGGGTCAGTGTGTGTCCCCTTAGGTGCATCCAAGGCCGTCAGCTCTCCCTGTGTAAGTCTGGGTGTCCATACATGCGACCTGTTTGGACATTGCCGTGTCAGGATATGACAGTGTCCTGTGCTAGGTGAGGGCAATGCCTGACTGTATTTTAGCATCTGGGTGATTAGACATCAGGGTGCCTGGGGACAATGTGTCTGGATTTCAGCATCCATGTGTCCAGGCTGTGGCATGTCTCAGTGTCAGGGTACTGGTGAGGGACGGCTGTTTTCTGTGAGCATCAACATGCGAGGGTGTTGTGTAATACACTGCGTTTGTGTGCGCCGGGGATGTGCTGTGTCCCATGTGTTTCTACGTGTTAGGAGGTTGTTGTGTGTCTGCATGCGGGCCGCTGTTATATACCTTTGTGTCTGTGTGTCTGTTATACACCTTTGTGTCTGTGTGTCTGGCCAACTTCATGCACGTGCTTGTGTTTGTTGGTGTTTGCTGGTGTCAGTGTCATTGCGTCTCTGTGTATGAGTGTCTGTGTGTGGTGGCCTCTGAGTTTTCTTTTTTTTTTTTTTTTTTGAGACAGAGTCTCGCTCTGTCGCCCAGGCTGGAGTGAGTGGCGCAATCTTGGCTCACTGCAAGCTCCGCCTCCCAAGTTCACGCCATTCTCCTGCCTCAGCCTCCCGAGTAGCTGGGACTACAGGCGCCCACCACCACCGCCCGGCTAATTTTTTGTATTTTTAGTAGAGACAGGGTTTCACCGTGTTAGCCAGGATGGTCTCGATCTCCTGACCTCGTGATCCGCCTGCCTTGGCCTCCCAAAGTGCTGGGATTACAGGCGTGAGCTACTGCGCCTGGCCAACCTCTGAGTTCTTATGTGTCTGATTGCTGTGTGTGTGTGTGTGTGTCAGGGTGTGTGCTGTGATCTGTGTGTGTTTGAGACAGGGTCTTGCTCTGTTGCCCAGGCTGGAGTACAGTTGTGTGGTCAGAGCTCATTGTGCCTTGAACTCCTGGACTCAAGGAATCCTCCTGCCTCAGCCTACCAAGTAGCTGGGACTACAGGTGTGCGCCACCATGCCTGGCTAGTTTCCAGAGTTTTTTGTAGAGATGGGGTCTTGCTATGCCGCACAGGCTGGTCTTGAACTCCTGGCCTCCAGCGACACTCCTGCCTTGGTCTCCCACAGTGCTGGGATTGCAGGCATGGGCCACCGCGCCTGGACAGATGTTCGTGTGTTATCCCTGAACGTGTGAATGGAATCTTATTGGGAAAGGGTATTTGCAGATGTGATTAAAGATCTTGCGATGAGGAGATTATCCTGTACTACCCAGGTGGCCCTAAGTCCAAGCATCCTTATAAGAGGGAGACAGAGGTAGATTTGAGAGACAGAAGAGGAGGTGATCTGATTACAGAGGTGGAGATGGGTAATGCCCATGAGCCCGAGTTCTCCCGGCGGCTACTGGAAGCTGGAGGGGCGAGGAGTCTCCCCAGGAGGCCCCGGGAGAGCTGGATTTTGGACTGCGGCCTCCAGAACTGTGAGAGAATGAGTGTCTGCTGTTCTCAGCACCCCTCGGTGGTCCTCTGTCATGGCAGCCGCAGGACCCTCACGTGCTGTCTGGGCTGTCCCTTCCAGCGTGCCGGGCGTCGTGTCCAGCACTGGGGGCCGCGCGCAGGCGTGGCTTGAGCCCTGTTTCCAGCCTCTGCGCTGGGGTTGCCCGGACGCCTCTCCGGGGCGCGACGCCACTGCCCCCTCGTGGCCGCGGCTGCCCGGACGCCCTCTCGCAGACGCAGCATGGCCAGCACTTGGGAACCAGCTTTATTTCTGATTATTATTATTATTTTTTTGTCAGAGTATAAAAAAGTGAGCACAAAACAAGGAAGACGAGACAGGCGTGCGTGAACCAGGGCAAGACAGAGGAGGAGGGAGGGGAGCAGAGGCGGAAGGGCATCCCGGGCGAGGGCTGATGGTGGGAGGCAGGCAGAATACTTGGGCAGCCACACAGGGGCAGGGATGAGGGTCTCCCCTTGTTGGGGGCTTACGGGAGGGGAGCAGCCAGGCCAGTTGTCCA